ATAGTATTTTAATTTTTTTTGTTTCATAAGATAATAATTTCATTAATTTAATTAAAAATAAAAATAGAATACCACATATTCCTTAATTTATTTTTTTTATTAATCATGTATTTTAACCTTAATTCTAAATTTTTAATTTATCTATAACTCTACTCCTCAAAACTAATTACGACCATACTCTTAAAATCTTAAAATTTTAATTTATTTTTAGTCATTGGAGTTTTTGAGAGTGTTCAGCCATCAGACACTGACTTGGGGGGCTAAGACTCCAAAGGATGTGAAGATCTAGGGCATCTGGTATGCTCAGCTTGACTCATAGAACTGTTGTATGAATTTGTTTATCCGTGGTACGGATTTTGTAAGTTTGAAGTCTCTGATGCTAAAACTTTTGTGGTGATCCGATGAGAAGCAGTGAGCTAATCATCTTCTTTATAAATTATTGTGGCTTCTTATAATAATCTTTCAAAGTTGCAAAGGTTCTTATAATTTAAATATATCATGCAGAGGTACTGGTTAGAAAAGAAAACGGTTGTGTTTCAAAGGACTAATTCACTGGTTAAGGACTGAGAGAATTAACCACGGCTACTAGCTCAAGTGGTAATAACCGGCCTCTAGTTGGTTACCACCAGGTTGAGAGTTTGACTCCCCCTTGGCCTCCCTTTTTAATAATAAAGAAAGGACTGAGATAATTGGGCACAATTAACTATAACAGTTTAACTAGTGTAAGCTGAAGAATATCATTAAGAGTGAGGTTAAAGCATGAGCTTTCTTTAAGAAATTTTAGTCTTTTCATTATTGTTCTTGGCATTTTATCTTTACTCAATCCATTGTACTTTTTTGCGTCTATACTCAATTTACAAAAGCGCATACAACCTGCAGGTCTTGGAAATGTCAGTGTTTGTCAAGTTGAACTAGTCTTAACTTTCTGAAACTTTGTCTGGCTGCCACCACTAAGAGGTGGTGTTGTGACTTCTGAGCAACAGAACTACTTAATGAACCCAACTTGATTCTTGGAACTAACTCTTTATATTTCTAATCCATTCACTTCTATGATAAATTTGGAATTCTACGATTTCATGTTACGTTCGAGGAGGTCAGCACAGGGAAGCTTTGGCTCTTTTTCAAAGAATGTGTGATTCAGTGGTGCTGCCAGACGAGCCACATGATGCAGGGCTTTTATGTGCTTCTCTCAAATATATTTTGCAAAGCTACATCATTTTGCAACTATATCATTTTTTGTTTTGTGAAAGTCTATGAATGACTCCAGAATCATCAAGGAGCCAACTAGCTATTTTTATAATGAGTCCCTCATTTTATAGTCCGACCTGCATTATACTATAAAATATAAGGCATTGGATAGGAGAAAGACTCCTAATATTATAAGACTCATCTTCCATCTAATGATTATAGTTGTACAATCCAATATAGTCTGATTTATTTTTCCTTTCATTATTGTTTGAGTGAATTTATTTATTTTATTTGCTTTGGAAGAGACGTAGATACAATGCTAATATTCTTTTGTTTCATGGAGAGAATTTGTTGCTTTTTTCGATCTAAGATTTCCATTTTTATGCAATAAAAACTCTGCCAGTCTGCCTCCATTTTTCTCTTTGAAAATAGGCAATGGATTTTTCTAGCATGACTTGGACTCCAATACCAGAAAGGAAAAGAAGAAACTACTTTTACTTAATGACAAAGAATTCGCATGATTTTTCCCTTCCCTCCTCCCTTCTCCCACTCTGACTAGAATTTTAGAGAAAAACTTATATAAACTCTATCAAACAACTGCATTATTGAAATCCAAAAGAATGATTTCGGAGCATCATAATAACATTATGGAGGAGCAACCCCTTGACCATCATCCATGGCTAGGGCAACTGTTGAAGTCCAATTTCAAGAAGTTCTCATGTAAGAATCATGGCTTCACACTTAACCACTTCTGCACAGATTGTTTGGGACTCTTAATCTGCGAGAAGTGTGCTAAATGCAATGAACACCGTGGTCATGGAATTATTCGAGTAAGTTCTTGAATTGATTTGTTGCATTGTCCTAACTAAGTCAATAAATATAATTTTTGGTATGTCAAATAATAAGTTATGCAATAGAAGATAACACTCTCCTCTCCTTCTCTCCTACCATCTCAAGATCCAAACTCTTAATCAATATTTTATGGAAGGTTTATTTGATTTGTTTAAGAAATTTATTTTTAACTCACGTTATGAATGTTTAGGTTTTCCAATCTTCAAGGCAAGATGGAATTCAAATTAAGAATCTCGATAATCTGTTAGACGTATCACAAATTCATCCCTACGTGATTAATGGTGCCAAAATAGTTTATATTTATCGAAGACTATATAGCAGCAATAAAGATAAAGCGAAACTAGGAGGTTGTAGCAGAGCCAGCGGCCGTCGTAAGTTTTGTGTAAGGTGTGGATTTGAACTGCAATCAAAAAAAGAGGAGCCTGATTCCAAGTTCTGTTCGATTGAATGCAAGGTTTGTAATGCTAATTTCCCCCTTTTTTTAATTATATTTATATATTATATTAAAGTTCTTTTTTAATTATATATACAAAAATGTTTTTTTAACTCTAGACTACATTCAGTTTGGATTATAAAAGTATTTAAATATTAATAAAATTTATTAAAAATTTCGTATTTTTAATGTCCAAATTGTACCTTTTTTTAAATTTAATTTGAAATGAAAAACTCCATTCTCTAGTACGTGATGATAAAACAACATATATTTGCAGTATAAAAGTGTTTGTGGAAGAAGGCATTCACCATCACCACAGCAGATAGATGAAACCGACACAGGTGATGAGATGAACAATGATGAAATTGACATGGTGGATGAAATCGACCATGAGAAGAGTTTGAGGAGAAGACCCAGAAAAGCATATCACCCAAGTAGATCTCCTTTCTTTTAAAAATTTTCCTAGCTTGCTTCACATTGCTATGTATTTATTAGATAATATGATTGTGAGGACGTACGTACCATGCATTTGCAATATTGACAGCTAATGTTTGCTTCAATTCAATAGAGATTTGGCCTAACAAATTCATGTACCCACTTCTATCTATCCAAATTTGAATCAAATACGTAAAACAAAAACTTGGGTTTTATTTTTTCTGATATAATCTCTCTTTTTTCTTCTTTCTGGCCCTACATATACCTATATAATAATCATAACTTAGATAAGAAGAATCATTTAGATTTGGATGACCCTACAAATTTCATGATGGCCGGAAGAGGAAGTTTCATGCTAATGACAATGGCAACCATTTTTTTGTGATTCCGTGATCGAATTGAAGATATGCATGGATGAAGACTGAAGTTGTTGTGGAACTAAAATCTCTAGGATCTAACTGAGAATATTGGAGTTTCTAATAATGAGGGTGTTTGAAAGTACAGGATTATGGGTACAGTTCTTGTGCCGGTTGTTGAGGTTTTAAGTTGTTGTTTGCCAGTCTTGCTGCTAATAATCTAATAAATATTTAATAGAGATTAAGACAGGACATGTTTTTAAGGCTCAGATCCATGTTGATCATTATCAAAATCATCATATGAACAGTGTCGTCAATTATATACCTTTCTGAAATCTGAAGAAACTTCCGGCTGAAACGATTGGATTAGCAATCTTGCATTATAGAGTGGACTGGTCAATATAAGAGATAATGGCAGATAAGAACTCAGAATTAATCTTTGACCTCTAAATTCAAACAATTTGCTTGTTTGATTTTAGAACAAGTTGCACCTCTTGAGGTAACAATAAACATTAAAATTTAAAAATCCGTGAGTAAGTGAGAGTGATGTTTAACCAACTAATTATAAGGATATAAAAGTAAAAGCAGAACATTTTAATGTGGCATTAGCCCTTCTGCCAACAAAGTGGAGGCTACGCATTTGAATTGTTTACAGTCAAATAAGGCTTTTAATATAGTTTAAATGACTCATTAACTTATTGAGTTAACTCAATTAATTAATGGAGGTACATTTTTCTTTTTCTTTTGCCAACAATGGGGATTTGAAAGTAAAAAGCGAATTAAATAAAAAAA